ACAAAAGGACGGGTTTACTGTGCAGCAGTTCGTTCCGTCCTACTTTATGGCAGTGAAACATGGCCGATAAAAGTAGAGGATATTCGTAGGCTACTAGTATTCGATCATAGATGTCTTCGAAGGATTGCTCGTATATCCTGGGACCACCGGGTAAGTAATGCAGATGTTGGGAAACGGGTACTAGGTAAGGATGGCGAATCGATTGATGAAGTAGTGAAACTTCATCAGTTGAGATGGCCGGGAAATGTGTTACATATACCCAATCAACGACTGCCCGCCCCGACGTGCAATTCTTTCTGGTGTAGGAGTAGGTTGGAAGAAAGTTAGGGGCGGCTAGATCAAAACATGGCATAAATCCATGAAGTCGCTGACAAGTGGACTGAGCCATGTTGGTAGGTGTAGACTACCTGGTTGAGATGCGTGAGATGATAGCAACCGATGGTTAGAGACCTTGAATGACATTGCTCGAAATCGTTTGCAATGGCGAAGGTGCATCCACTCTTTGTGTTCTACCAACTTCTAATCTTCTGAATTCCTCATGTCTCTATCTTTTTCTCTTTCCAAATTTATTTCACTGTACTATACTGCTTCAATAATATATTCAAACCCTAATCTTTCACATTAATGCTTAAACACTTACTACTTCTACCACTATGGGATTTGAATCGACAACTGCATCTCTGTGCTAATGTAGTATGGCAACTCGAACTGATGTACGTAAGTATGAAGTTCTACGTTGTGACTGACTGACTGACTGAACCTATAAATTCAAGGAATTTAATTCATAAGGGAAGAGTTATATAATTTTTAGACATTGCAAAATATTAAACGATTGATAGTATGGTATAATAAATATGATATATCCTGACTACCAATTTTGTTGTATACTACAATATCGAATTACTTAGCTCTTATGTCTGGATTACAATTTAATCATTTCTAAGGATTAGACAACATAACAGTGGTTACTACTCAATGATTTATTAGTTTTGTGAATCGATTATTAATAAGAGTGTTTGTCCTTATAAATTGAGCATTTAAATCAAACTTGTTGAAAATATACCCACTTTGTATACAAATCTTTGAGTGACTAGTAGTATAGAAACGACTCATTTTTTTAAACAGTATACTAACACTTGAACAAAAGACTCTTTTAACCTTCAAATTATCTGAAAAAAATTGAAATGAACTATTTTTTGTCAGCTTTAGGCTTTTTATTATAACCTAATGATTTCTTGGACAATTCATTTCTCACTTGAAACAACCATATTTCAAGTTTTAAATTTCACTGAATGCATTGAAAGTCACTGTGTTCAAGATCATTCAACTAACGATACTTGAAGTGTACAAAAAATTTGCTGTAAATCAAATCTGAAATGCTATCATTCAATGGTGTTCAATTACATTTTTTAAGTATACATTAGTAAAACTTAAAAGTCAATTGAAGCTAGACCACCATGGAAAACCCGGAAGCACTGGTCGGCCGTTTAGTCCTATTGTGGTCTAGCTTCAATTGACTCGTGATTTCAACTTATACCTCATGTATTGTAAATACTTATTTTGTTTCTAAAATGAAATAAAGCATTGATATAACATACATTAGAAAACAAAGTCAGTTAATAACTAATAAATCTCTCTGAACATCCAAGGATTACCTAAAGTTTCTCCCTCATAAATCACTTACAGATATCATAGGCATATTCGGGCCCCCAAATGCCCTGGTACGTCTGTGGGTGGGGATAGTCCGCACTCCCTCTCGAAATGCTTTCACATGGCCACGCGTATATAGCCTTTGCCAGGGAAGTTCTACTCACTGCCTTTTCGTGGCATTACTGTTGTTTACGAAATCGAGAGGACGAAGAGCGAATGTCTGGGTTGGTGGACACGGGGAGTTCACCTAGGGGAGTTGGAAAACCCTGATTCCAAAACCGATGGTGCAAATGGACTCCAGTATCCTGAGGGAACGAATGGCTTATGAATCAATCTTTGGTCACCGACTACCATGAGACTGCATCTCCTCACGATGCTCCACTGCCTTGTGGATCAGACTTATAGGTCGAAGGCTCCGAGTGTGGTCCCCTAAGAAAACCACCTGCTTCAGTTTGGGCATCTGGGCAGTATCACAGCCCTCACACAAATCTCATTTAATTTGTGTGGCACATATTTATCTGGTTCCTCCTTGTACCAATATCTATGTGTTTAAATAAAAAAATAAAGCATATTCAAATAGATGTGTAATTACTTAATTTGATCCTTATCTAGTGTATATATATAGCACCAAATGTAATACATTCAGTATTTTATTCAAAATAGTGTTATTCAAAGAGGGTCTTTAAGTATTGAATGATACAAGCAAGAAATACAGTATTTAGAGTCTTGATGAGTTACATTTTTTATGGTATCCTCCTGTACAACAGGATAGTATGAAAACATCTACCTACTTCTCACTGTAGATTATACATTATATCCCTCAACTGCTTTACTGAATAAATATTTAGCGTTGAAAAGTTAATCGTAAACTTCCGGAAAATATGTTTTTGCTTTTAACGAACCTACCCTCAGAATTTTAACTAGCCTAAGGTTTTTCTGAGGCATCTTTTAGATGGAAACTGTCTGCTATTTTTCCTTTCTTAGTTTCACGTTTCTACTTTAACACATTCACTGAATACTTGTAATAATACTACTCCTATCGACCCATTCTTACTTTACGTTCCTTTATGAAGGTAGTACTGATAAAGTACCTTGACCTTATATAAAATTAACTACAAAATGTCATGTCCGGAAAAAAATCAAACAAAAATTATTCCCTTTTAAAATATCAATTTCTTTCATTACCACAAATCATTTTTTCCTGTCATATCTCCAAACACCATTTGGGCTAGTTGAACAAGAAACACTGTATGATGCTTATGAATTTTGTTGTTCTTCTTCACTTGGTTGACATAAAAAAGTAAAGAAGACCTGAATTAATCTTTTTAAATCACTCACCTTACCCCATGAAATGTACCGTATAGTTTTTTCTATGCTACTGAAACTACAGAAATCCATATATATAAGCTGAACCATTGTATCTGGAATAAATTTATTCACCCCTTCTTTCTCTTCCAACCATGGACATGAAGTAAACCAGTATGATTTAAAATAGAATGTTTATTCCCGGTTATTCTAAATCCCTTTTATTTTTTATGTTTTTGTAAAGTTTTCATACTAATCATCATATTCTTACGTAATGATTATCAATATTTGACCTGTTATCATCAAAATGCTTTGTTAATTCTTTCATTAAATATTTATGTTTTCAACCAATGAACTTCATATCACAATCATTATACAAATAACTTTCATCATTATATTCAACTGATCTTCTATCTAAGCATAATTACGTAGTTAAATATTCGACATGATTTTCATTATCAGTAGTCTATCGGTTAAGTGCTCTGGCGCGAGACTGGTAGGTCCTGAGTTCGAATCTCGCGAAGTGGAACCGTGGATTCGCACTGCTGAGGGGTCCCATAATGGGACGAAACGGCCGTCCAGTGCTTGCAGGTTTTCGATGGTGGTCTAGCTTCAATTGGCTCATGTTTTCAACTATGAAAATACTTGTGAATTTGCAATATTATTATGTAACACTACCATCTAAATGACTTATTTTACTGTTATTAGTATGGAGCCATAATAAAAAATTAGTTGGGAAAAATACTTCTTCACTTTTCTTTTTTGACTAAATCCTGTATTAAATTCGATATTGTTGATGTGTAGTGCTAATTTGTGTTGAAAAAACTTTTAACTACCTCAAAGGATCAAAAGGTCACACACTACCATAACATCAAACTAATTTTTTTTAATTTATTTCCTTTCTTTAAACGTTAATGCAATTTTAGTGCCGTGCTTCGTTAATCGATCACATCAATAACCGTTATAATACCAATCTTAACCGTATATTAAAATCAGAAGGCAAAGAGAAGCGGCATCTAAAATTTATTGACAAATGACTCAGGCCTAAAGGTCACAAGCACATGAGCTAACATCAGCGAGCAGTGAGCAGTCAGCTAAAGCAATTACATAAGCAATTTATAGTCAAACTAAATAAGGGCACAGCAAAACTAAACAAAAGCTGATAATAGGAGTCTCGTGCATACATATATGGCGAGGAGTATTAATCATCGAATGATACTTATGAAATCAACATTTTGGCTAGAGTGTCATGTGCTCTAGTGGTAATAACAGTACAAAGAATATGCAAACTTTTATTAACCAAATGACGATGTCTGTTAAGTAAGTTAATAAAAAGGCTTAACCAAAATTAACCATACTCAAAATCGATTGTAGGATAGTTGCTATAATATGTAAATATCTCCTTTTTATCCGTATCAATGTCTAATCAAGCCATAAAACAATTTAATTTTGTTAAATACACTGGATCTCATTCTTTAAATAATTAAACATCCTAAATCCATCAAGTAGGCACTAAGTGGTTGTTTTAAAACTCATTCATAATATTGAAAATATCTTTGATCTTAATCGTTAGCTACTTATCAACAGTCTCAAGTTTTCGTTACGATGGAAAAAAATTTGTGGTTAAGGTTGGTGATTTTGATACAGTTGTATCCTCTAGATGGTTTGTTAATGATTAAATCAACTACAGACTATTCCACAAATATCTTGATTTCACTAAACTAATCAGTAATTTTCATAGCTGAAAATAATGAGTCAATTGAAGCTAGACCACCAGGGAAAACCTGGAAGCACTGAACGGTCGTTTCGTCCTATTATGGGAGTCTTCAGCAGTTTTCCATGGTGGTCTAGTTTCAATTGACTCATGATTTCAACTATGAAAATACTGAAATATCCACAAAACCCCTTCTGATCTGTAATCAGTAATTGATGTCATATTAACTTACACTATTCTTTATATTCGACACCACTAGCAACAATAATTATAACTATTTTTTTGGTCTTCTCATTGTTAACTTCTCTTCCCTCTCAAATTTCAATTTCAGGCTATGGACATGTAACACCTCATACAAGATTAGGTAAATTTCTTACAATGATGTATGCTGTATTTGGTATACCATTATTTTTTTGTTATCTTTCAAATAGTGGTAATTATATGGCATCATTATTTCAAGTATTCTATATACGTATTTGTCAACCAACATTTATACAATTTAAAAAATGTATAAAAAAGTGTTTTAATCCATTAACTCATAAAAAGGTTACACAACAATTAAATTTATCACAAAACCAGGATAGTTTAATCAGTGAAAGAAATAATTCAATATTATTATCATCAAATTTAGTCAAATATAAAAGATATAAAAGAACACTAGGTAATACTACTCATAATCATTCTATTAGTAGTAGTAAGATTTGTAATGATAACAATAACAATCACTTATATCATACTTATCATAGTCATAACTATGCTAATTACAATCCAAATGATCAATTGAATTATAAAAATATTGAACAATCAAATTTAACATGGAATGATAAACAATCACAAACTTCTTCATCAAGATTATCATCATATAAACCAGATTATATCATGGATACTATAGTATCTACAATTCCTTATATAAATATAAAAAATTATTCAACTCAAAGATTTGACATCAATGATACATATTTACAACAATATACACCATTAGAAAGTTTTGATTTATCAAATTATTATTCAAATACAACTCGTTCAATTTATGATCAATCATTTAAAGAATCAATAAATACTTCAAATAACCTTGAATTACATTCATCAATGAATGTGATCAATATAGATCATCAATTAAAACAACAACAACGACAAAATGATTTAGATATAAGGCATTGTGGAACAAATGAATCGAATAAATCATCAAATGATACAATAAAAACAGTTCCAATATCATTAACTATACTTATGATGACTGTTTATATATTATTAGGCGCTGCTGTATTTTGTTTATGGGAATCAACAGATTATTTAAAATGGTCATATTTTTGTTTTGTAACATTATCAACAATTGGATTTGGTGATATTGTACCAGGTAAGTGAATATTTGTATGATCATTATTGATAGATTATTAGTATCATTAAACTGGAAATGTCAGGAAAGTATAAAAGTCATCCAGTTATTGTTATTATTATCATTATTATTACCACTAATACTCATACTACTGATGTGAACGAGAACACAGGCGGGGAAAATCAAATGTGTCTTAATACAACATCACAGAATATATTGGTAGAATCTGAGAATCATACAGTAAATACTTCATTTGCAAAATATCCATCAATTGTCTCAAACTTCATTGTTCCTTCGTTTCCATGCCAACCATTCTCTGTTCTCATTCTCTTTTCTTCGGTCTTCTTAACCTTCTTCGGCCAGGCAGTTCACTTTCAGTTGATGGTACATACGACTTATATCTGTTGACACCAGTAACACACACCACACTACTACATTTAGTAGTAGTAGTATGGAGTGCTTTTAAATATTTATCAAAATGTGTTTTATATTACTGACCGATTATAAGTAAACTGATATTGAAAACTAGGCAATAATCAACACCTCTTTCGTTCTAGTATCAGTCTTCTAAGCAGTGTGTACTCATGGCCTCGACAATCATAGAAACAGGAATTTTTTCATGAGTCACGGTAAGCATGTTACCTTCTAGGTCATTAATAAAATCTAACAATCATGAGCAGACAAGTACAAGCGAACCAAAAATTGTCACATCTACTTACTTTGGATTCAAAAGGTAGTTGACAAATGAGTTATTTATATCAATTGCTTATGTTACCAGTATGAGAATAACGAAATAGAGTTTTGATTTATCTGAGACAAATGTTGGTAAAATTGTACAAAATCCATATTATTTCTTTACTTCAATCCTAAAATTAGAGATTCGATATTGTAAGCAAAGATGGATAGTGGCTAGAAGTGGAATTCAGGACGCGCGTTTTGTCCTATTTGGGACTCGTCATTTGGATGCACCTGCATCTCAGAGTTGATGTTCACTCTGAGACTCGAACGAAGTACCTTTCGATCCACACACCATCGCGTTATTCACTCAGCTACTGAGTCCTGATAGCCACTTGCTTGTACAATGGGATGAAGTTTAAATTCACTTGGTATTGATTGTTTGAATCTTCACATTGATGTTTAGCACTGTAACTGGTCCTGACGAGTCCCAAATAGGACGAAACACACGTCAAACTGGATTCCACTTCTAGCCACTATCCATCTTTGTTTACAATGCTTATGAATTTAGGTTATATGGAGGCAATACGCACAGTATGCACATATGCCAATTAGAGACTGATCAGTTTCAGTCCTAAACATCAATGAGAAGATTCAAACAAACAATAATAAGTGAATACAAATTCGATACTTTATTTCATCTACTAACATCTTTTGATTTCAATACTTTCACTATTTATCTCTTTCATTATACACTACATAACTTTTTTTTACCTTTTTCATTCTAGACAATGACATTACTATGATTAGAGCTACAAATTTCCATCATTATTCGTTAAAGTTTATAAAATGTATAGCTGAAATGTTTAAATGTTTAGTTAGTCAACCAGTCAGTAATATTTTTTATCAGCATAAAACTTAATGTCTCCATAGGTTAAAAATATACAAGAATCATGTGGAATAGTTCTAAAGGGGTAGACAAAGGCTTTTTAATTAGTTGTGAAAAAGCAACTTCAAGTTAGTAGTCATAACAAATGTGATATTTCTCTTGAATATACATCTGGAAAAAAAGGAAAAGAATTGCAAATAAATCTGTATTTTATTAATTTCTGTAATTTTCATAAAATTAATGGTTGTTTAACTAATATATCAATATTCGAAAACCATTACATTAATGAGTAGTTATTAAACTGTATAATTTTCAGAATGAGGGTTTATGGAGATTGTAGTAATTTTAATAGTTGAATTCATGAACTGATCTAAGTTAGACCACCATTGAAAACTTAGAATGACTAGATGGCTGTTTCATCTCAGTATGAGACTTCTCAACAATGCACATCCACGATCCCAGACATGGGATCGGAACTCAGGATCTTTGGTCTCGCGCGCGAACACTTAAACCCTAGACCACTGAGCCGGCATCCGATGGTGTCAATGTCTAACTTCAACCAATCCACGAAGTTGAGCAACCGTTCACCAATTGTCTTCATTAAGCTCTTATCTCACAACAGACGTGGTTGTACTCCACTGAACTCCACTAGAATTCCAGGAAGTACCTCTTGAAGTCAGTTGTCTATCGGTTAAGTGCTCTAGCGTGAGACTGATAGGTCCTGGGTTCGAATCTCGCCAGGTGAGATCGTGGATTCGCACTGCTGAGGAGTCCCACATTAGGACGAAACGGTCATCCAGTGCTTCCAGGTTTTCCATTGTGGTCTAGCTTCAATTGACTCATGCTTTGAACTATGAAGTTATAGACCTGCTTCCTGATGTAATATTTTTCAACCTTCATTTTACAAAAACAAACTATAAGAGTAAATGATTGTTCTTCATTCAAGAATAAAAATATATCATCCTGTAAACTTACCTGGAATTAAATAACGAAGCAGAAAGAGCGACAGATTAATAGTAACTTCTCATTAGTTTATTTAAATTCTTAAATAAAATTTTACAGATTATGCTCTATAGGAAGTTGATACATTATAACCTACATCTCATATCTAAAGATGTTGATGATTGTATGACAATTTTCTTTTTGATAAATTCACATCTATTTCTCACTCACTCTCTTTGCATACCCATAATATGGAAGGTTTTACTTTCTGAATATGTTGTACTCATTTGATGCTTTAATCGATAAATAAGTAATAATGTATATCACATTTTGAATGATTATGTCCAGATATGATTTTATAGTAAAGATTCAAGTGGACATTATTTATCCATAGTGATTAAATAACAATATTTTATGACAGAATCATTCAATGATTTCATCTTTCATTTGATTAACATATTCAAGATTTTATTCTACGAAGAAGTAACTGAAAAATTTGGCTATTTTTTTTTTCTTTAAAAGAAACAAGTAGCCTTAATAATAATAATTATTATTATTATTCTGATTTACTGACAAGTAAAAATCTTTTCGTAAGAACCAGAAGAAAAAAAAGATTCTACTCAGTAATAATGATAATTAGTTTACTGTTGATAAGGTCACTACTATTCTATTTTGTTTTCATTCAGTAGAAATGTCAATATTTGGAATTTGTTCTAGAAAAGAAAAACTCATTATTCATCTTTTTTTTTTCTACTTTGGATTTCAACTTATAATATTCATTTTATATGGAACATGTGATCGAATATAATTATTAAGAATCATGCAATTTCATTTCTTGTGTATCATAGTAATTATAAAAAGTCCAAATCAAATTTATAAGAAGGAAGGAATCTACATTTACATAAGCTAGTTACATTATTATATGAGATATCTGATACAATGGTTGTGAAAAGCATCTTAAATATTACCCTTTGGAATCAATATCACTCATGAAACAATGCAATCATTCTAGTTCATTTACTCTAGACCTAATTCCGTATCACATACAAAGTAAATTATACCAAAAATAAGAAACACTATATTAGAAAAAGTGGATGACCTCTTCACTTACGAATACACTAACTTAATCTATCAGTGAAGCTACACGATAACCTATAATTGATATTATTACATACAGACAACTGTAAGGACATGAATAAGAATTGGTAAACGTCAAAATCCTAGATCGAAAGAATTTTAATAATGTTAAATAATTTCTTAATTATTTTTTTCTGGTTAGCGTTTTTTAGCGAGTTAGCTTTTCTACGGGATGGGGTCGCTAAACCCATGCCCAATCCTCCTCCTTTACCCGGGCTTGGGACCGACAGTAACTCTAGAAGAGCTACAGGCGGAACTCTGGAAGAGGTGGAAGCATTCAAGTACCTGGGAAGCATCGTTGATAAACAAGGAGGATCGGATGCAGATGTAAAGGCGAGGATTGGCAAGGCAAGGCAGCATTTCTACAATTGAAGAACATATGGAACTCAAAACAACTCTCAATCAATTTCAAGGTCAGAATCTTTAATACGAACGTCAAGACAGTCCTACTGTATGGAGCTGAAACGTGGAGAACTACTACGACCATCATCAGGAAGGTACAAGTATTTATAAACAGTTGTCTACACAAAATACTCAACATCCATTAGCCAGATACTATCAGCAACAGCGTTTTGTAAGAGAGGACAAACCAGCTTCGAGCTGAAGAGAAAATTAGGAAAAGACGTTGGAATTGGATCGGACATATAATAAGGAAATCACCAATGTGCATCACGACTCAATCCCTAACCTGGAATCCGGAAGGGAAGCGGAAAAGAGGAAGGCCAAAGAACACATTACGCCGGGAAATACAAGCAGATATGAAAAGGATGAATAGCAACTGGAAAGAACTGGAAAGGAAGGCTCAGGACAGGGTTGGATGGAGAATGCTGGTGAGCGGCCTTTGCTCCTCGACGAGGGGTAACAGGCGTAACAGACAGACAACAACAAAGAATTTCTGAAGTTATGGCATTTAAATCGATCAGCAACTAATAGACACATTAAACCCAGTCCAATTTGTCAAAATACTAGAAAAAGCTCAATCAGAAACCTGGTCATAGGTCAACGGAATACAATAGCCGACTTGAATACGTGGACAACCAAAGACAATGAAACCTAAGGGGAGAGACAATCATAGTCAAGGCCACTAGGACAAACTGATTTCAGACCCTTTAAACAACTAGAACGTCCAATTCTACATGAAGTAAGAGCTAACATTGGTGCCCAGAACGACTATAAAAGCTCGGGAATCAAATTCAACAAAAAACACACCTGAGCTTTAAATCACCCCCATCATTCCACTACACTGTTTAGAAGTAACATAAATCTCTTCCCCTATTCGAACCAAATTATTTCGAAGAGCGTTGGTTGTTTTATACCATGCTTTGTATCTGTGTGATTCTATGACTTGTTTCAGATATGTCTTGTCATAGTCGTAAATTGGCACAACAACACCAGCCTATGACATTTCATTCGATTCAACAAAGAATCGCTACGTTTGATCACATTGAGAGATGTTTATTATATTTGCATATTCTTTTAGTTTGTCTTCTTTTGATGTGATAATGGTGGTAACTTTTCTAAATAAACTAGAGAGACGGTTTGTTGATATTCGTCGAATCAAAAGGTGTATTTATCACATAATGCGGAGAATCGGGAATCGCTACGCAGCCATTTCTTTCGACTAGGGATACCATTCTTTCTGGAATGGAAACAGGTTGAAAGAAAATTAGTGACAGTAAAAATAAGACAACATCAGCTCATAAAGTTATTAACTGTTGAGCTACGCCATATGATGGGCGGAGACTATTTGGTGCGAGTTCGGTTAACAACCACGGCCTTTGGTAATATATACTGAGTGAAATGGCCCAAAATCAGTCACAAAGGGTCAATTAAATTCATCCCTTACCTCTTCTTTAACTTCAACATTCCCTGATATTTCATATTCTTCGGATTCCTCCTTTCTTTTCAAACTGGATTCTCCAATGTTTAGTCTTTGCCACTCTCAATGATCCTTTGATTATTTCAATCCTCCTGTTATTTGGCTTATTAATTTCATTTTTTGTGCTGATTTGGTGCAGGAATGTGAGCTGACACACATTCGTACCAGGCTGTATGTAAATTATAAGTAGGTAATTCATCCGGAGACTACTCGATAGTAAGTATCGGCCATTTCACACTAGAGAATAACCAATAACTTCAGATTTCAAAATGAATATGTAGGCTTCAATTCTGTAAGTTACAACCTGTTAGTTCATTCTTTCACAATCATTTATTTTGTACTATGACATGAAGAAACCCAATGTCTTCAATAACAATCACAAAACTTGTGAAAAGTTTATTTCACAAGCCATAAAGTCTATATAGAACTTCTAGAAATCTTTAACTTGAACACATTTCCATATATCAAATGTCTACTTCATAACCCTAAACTAAACAGCTACTAAACTGAAGATGGAAGTATCTGTCAGTATATGTAAGTTAAAGAATTTCTTGACAAATCACAATAACTTAAAATGTTGAAAATACACACAGATAAATTTTAGCTGCTTTGTCGAAACATAGCAATCAGTCTATAGTATTCGACACTAGCCGAACTGTGAGCTATTGATTTTGAAACGTGTTTTTACTGTACACTACCAAATCAAGGATACTTTTTGAAAAATGATTATACAGTTGTTATTCATGCAATTGATATTTAATTGAAACTAGTTTTTTAAGTTCATCAAATTGATGAGTAATGGACTGAAATCTCATGGCAAACTTATGCTGAAAAGATCACATTAGAAATAATTTGCCAGATTAGTTACCCACCAGTAAGTGACGGACATTAAATTAAGGCATTGCTAAATAACTCAACATTAATATTTGATCTCCAGTTTAAATATATTAGATTCGATTTTGATAGATAGTCAACAGAATCCTCAATCGAATAAAAGACTACACTATTAAATAAAGGGATATCAACCGATGTCATATTATCTGGTCTTTAGGGATGATCAGATTTGCCATTTAGCTATTGAATTAAATGACTCGACACCGCTGTCCACCTCGTTAGATATTTTCAAATAACTAACTGAGGATTATGAACTGCATTTTCGTATTGATTGATACCTATCGGTAAACGACGTGTAAAATCTCATAGAAGCTTCGCCTCTTTGAGCGAATCAATCCTAAATAGCCCAGTATAGCAAAGACTTGAAAACTGAGTCCTTCATATTTATCATCTATAGAAATTAGGCCATTGGCGATTCTTTTATTTTCCTGGGGGTGTTAAGCAAATTTTCCATAGACAAAGTAATTTCCAACTGTAATCTGAGAACTTCAGCTAGTATGAAATTCACCAAAATTGAAAAATACATTTTGATTAGTTTATGGGATGGTAAACCTTTAAATTCCAACTTCTTATCTGATAAGAATCATCCCGTCAAGAGACTTGAGAGCTACGTATTCTAAAGTTAGTATGTAAAAAAATGAGTGATTTATTGTCTTTAATAGTTCTGTAGTATATGTTTAGGAGTTACGATCGGAGACTAAGTTAAATAGATCTCCACAGAAATCTGATGAAATGACATCAAATTCATTTTGTGACTGTTAGCAGAAGAATCTATATATTGCTTTTTAGTCTATATGAGGCTCAACTACAGAGTTAATTAACATTAATAAGTCAACGATCCTGAGATAATGTCAAAATTATTCATCATTGATATTCTTTCACATTAATTCTTCATTACTTATGTATTCATTTATTCAATAACATTTGCCATTGCTTTCAAATTTGTCATTTTTCAGGTACAAAGATTGATTCACAAAATCCAAAAGAAAAAATGATTGCTTTAGCAGTTTATGTAGCACTTGGTCTATCTTTATTTGCAATGTGTTTCAATTTAATGGAAGAAGAAGTTACAGCGAAAATGAAAAGAATAGGACGTCGTATAGGTGTCACAAACTCTAAAAAAAAGAAATCAAAATCTTAGTTATCATTTTATATTTCTTTGATTTCATCATTGAATTAATCAACTCTGTCAACTCTACTTGAATCATCAGCATCATCATCATTTAAATTTTCATCTAGATGAATGAAACTCCCAAAGTGGATGAGAGTGTAAAATAAAAATTGGAGAAAATCATGGTAAATAACACCTAACAAAACAGATTTACAAACGAAATAAAAATCATTTGTATTACAGAATAGTCTGAGACTCAAGTAATTTATGTGATAAATTTTTATATTAGATATAGTTCTACAAGAATTATAAATCATAATATTTATATTGTTAGTTTCTTACTGAACCATTTAAACTAACTATACTGCGCTACTTATTTTTATTAAAGTAGTTGACGTGAGTGTCACTAAAAGGGTGGGGGAATTTACTGATGGCTCACTGTTTATAAAAGTAGAAATATTGCTCGCATCTACTGGGATCACCGAGTAAGTAATAGTGAGGTTCGACGCAGGGTATTAGGGAATGATGGTAAATCAGTTGATGAGGTCATGAATCTTCATCGACTAAGATGGTTAGGCCATGTGTTACGTATGCCTGAACACCGATTACCACGACGCGCAATGCTGACTAGTGTAGGGGATGGTTGGAAGAAAGTTAGGGGCGGCCAAACCAAAACATGGCATCAGTGCTTGAAGTCACTAACTTCTAGTCTGAGCCATGTTGGTAGATGCAGACTACCTGGTTGGGGTTCGCATGACTATCGTAACCAATGGTTGGAGACTCTAGGTGACATGGCTCAGAATCGATCACAATGGAGTAGGCGTATACACTCTTTATCTTTCCTTAAACCTTAAGATTAGAATTGCTTCATATCTCTCTTCCTTCATGTACTATATCCTTATATACAACCTATAATTTATATACTACTACCACCACTAAATTAATTACTTCTATGAATCCGGTGTTCATCTTGTTGTGCTAACGAGGTATGGCAACTTGGACCGATGCATATATGTGCCTGATCCTACGTTGTAGCTGACTGATTGTACTGTTAATCATTAACAATAGGAAAATCATGATATCTGAAAGAAGAAAATCATTTTACCAACACTGTGTTTAAATAAACTAGGCTATATTTATACTTTATCTTTTAAAATAACGAATTTAATCCATTTATACATTACATTCATTATTATTTCATTCAAGATATATCAACTGTCAAATGTGCACTATATGTATATATATATAACAGGATAGACTTATCATAATCTCGGATTTTTCTCCATGAAATACCCAAAAAGAATAATAGATAGAATATATATCGGAAATAATCTTTCATTCTGTAAATATGCCATGAATACTTCAATAGTTATCTAATATGAAAATACTTATCTACTTGTCAAAATGAATCAAATCACATTTTTATCCAGAATTTATTTAGTTGTGATTGATTGTTTTTTTCCCTTACTTTATTTTTTTTTTTTAAAATTAGATAAACTGCGAGATTTTTATCATCGTTAATTTTTTTTTTGAAAAAAAGGTTTCTACCAAATATCATTGCTTTACTTATGCCTGTTACTTCTAAAGGATCATAGGCCTTTGACCAGCATTCTTTAACCTTCATTGTCCTGGCACTTCCTTTTTAGATCTATTCAATTGTTGTTTATTCTTATTATGTCTGTCTCCATTTCTCGGTGTAATGTGTTCTTTGGTCTTCCTCTTTTTCTTTGACTTTCAGAATTCCATGTGAGGGTTTGTCTTGTGACGCAGTTGGCTGCTTTCCTCAATGTGTGTCCTATCCACTTCCAGAGTTTCTTCCTCAGATGGAATCTGGTTTGTTGTTTCCCACAGTAGAATGTTGCTGATAGTGTCCGGCCAACGGGTCCGAATTATTTTGCGTAAACAACTGTTAATAAACCCTCGTATCTTCTGGATGATGGCTTTCGTAGTTCTCCAGGTTCGCGTCCCATACGAAAGAACTCTCTTGACATTTGTATTGAAATTTCTGATCTTGCCGTTGGTTGACAATTGTTTTGAGTTCCAGATGTTCTTCAGTTGTAAATATGCTGCTCTTGCTTTGCTGATCCGCGTCTTCATAGCTGCATCAGATTCAACGTGTTCATCAATGATGCTGCCCAGACTTGTATAGGTTCTTACATCCTCTAAAGCTTCTTCTGAATGAATGGCTGCTCTGGCTGTCAGAAGGGGCATCAGCTTCGTGACTTCCGGAGGAAATTAGCTTTCTTTATTAGCAGTCATAACTCTTCTAAATGAATACTTTCTAACTCTCAGTGCAGAGTTTAAATGGTTTGAATTATTTTTCTGGTTAGCGTTTTTTTATTTAGTTTTCTACGGGATGGGGTAGCTAACCTCATGCCCAACCCTCCTACTGTATCTGGGCATGCGAACGGCAGTAGCCCCAGAGGGGCTCCAGGAGGAGGTTTCTTTTATCAAATATGCTGTCTATTAATCAGTATTTAAAATGTTCTTTTGAAGTGATTTACCTATAACCATATTCGTTTTATGTGTTAAGAAATAATTAATTAAGTTAATACGTGAATTTATATCGTTCAATAACCTGTGTTCAAGGAAATTTAGTTCTATATTCAACACAGTATCTGATTAAATAAGTATCAATTTTTCTGGGATGTACTATACAATTTAGAATACAAACCAATTTATTGAAATAATGAATGATGATATACGTTGTAGATAAATCAGTAAATAGATGTTACCACTTATGGACTGCGTTTTTTCCGATGTACTTATTTACTATTCTACATCAATGGAAGTCACCATATCTTAATACTTTCTTTTAGTAACGCTTCATCACATTTCATTCCTTTAGAAATAAAAATGTCTGAGACATTAAGCTACATCGTTTGCAAGTTTCGCTGATCAGCATCCCGATAATTTTTTAAAACAGTGCGTGTGCTATAACGCCTATATTCTATATCTTTAGCTTTAACTAATGATACGTTCCGACCGGTACGATTAACCTTGAGGTAACTTAAACTTAACTCTTATTTGTCCGGCGATACACATGCCTTCTTTTATCCCCGGCCTTGAGCCCGAGAGTAAAAGACAGAAGCCAAACTCCTATTATCATACATTATTATTTTTATCATTAGCTTTATTCAATATTATACTTTTGGTACAATATAGAATTCTCGGCACAATGAATTTCAACAAGTTTTCGTTTCTTATTTCGTGATCGATCCTGACGACAAATATTGAATGATCGCCAGTTAGAAGTCAGCAGTCTAGTCAATCAACATCTAAATAATGTACATTCTTCACACTGCATATTGCCAGCAACCACGATATCTGATTGGGTCTTTGTAACTTATAAAGAGAAAATTTGTACACTTTTCAGAAGCGCACTTGAATAGGTTATGCCATTAATAGCTATAATGTATTGAAACAAACAAAACTAGATAACTTCTTGAAATATCTAAGTAGTAGGAACAGGTAGCCCAGAAATTATTTTTAACACTTATTAGCTTGTATACATGAGTTATCGAACTACAGAGCACTCGAATTAAGAAATCATACTTTTCATAGGGTCATACCATAAGTAAAACGTATAACAATAATTAGTAGGTTCACTGGAATTTTAAAATAAAGAAAATATAGAAACACAATAATACAGTTATCTGCTAACTAAACAATCAAAGTACAAATGACAATAATCCGTAAATTATCTCCAAGATCTATACTTTCTTCATTATTCGCTGTGACACCACAGATATTGTTGTAACTTGTGGCCGAATGGATGCCCAGTTAATGTATGTACGTGATAAGACCGCCAATCAGAGAGAAGCCAATTACCGATTAGAACAGTGACACATGGAAATCATACGAGCAGTCCAGAGTACGTATCGATCCTGCTTCTGCCTAGCCCTGTCAGTTAAGTCCAGAACAGCCACTGTGGTATGAATCATTGTATTTCAAACATAGAGTTTATATACCAAACAGACTGACCACATTGTATCAATAAAATAAAAACTAACATTTGTACAAGATTTAGCCAAATGTGGCTGTGAATGTGGGAGACAGCAATTAATAGACTAGGGATAACTCAAGAACGGTAAATCGTATAATAATAGTCTATAGGTCAAAATAAAGCTTATAATAAGGTGAACATGAATATAAATAGGTTAGTTAGTTATTTATCGATTATACGATAAAAATATATGAACAATATTGATCCATAAATGGCTCCTAAAGTTACCATTCACTATTGTTATCAGGACATAAGAGATATAGATGTTGATCAGTTCATGTAAGTAACATTAAAGATATGAGCATAAACTGGACCATTATGGTAGACTTATGATTAGTGGCAATGATAAGTTAAGATTAAAATATCTATAACAGAATAAATTCTATTTTAACATTAAACAGGTAGATAAAACAACCGCTGATGATAATCTAAATGAAATCTTAACAGGAGCACAATAACATGATGTTAATTTAGTTTAGTGGCCATAATTTGATTGATAAAATTCGACCAACCCCAGAGATTAGACAACATAAAATTGATTATCGGTTAATAATAAATTAATCTAAGTTTACAAAATGTCTTCTACTAATTGTACCTGGTATATCTAACCAAAAACAATATATTGTTAAGATTTTCTAAAGAACTGGCACGAGACGTGTATTCGGGATTTTAACTTACAAAACTATCCTACCTGAAGTCATTATTTATATTTTTATTGATATCAGGAGGGGTTTTGTGGATATTATAGTAATTTTTATTAGTTGAGACCATGAGTCAATTGAAGCTAGACCACCTTCTAATATCAATCAACATATGCTCGCTAGTGACTGGCTTTAAGAGGTATTTCCTGAAGTTCTAGAGAGAAGCAGTGACAAGTGAAGTTCAACCAAGTCTGTTGTGAGATAGTAACTCACTGAAGACAATGGTGGATGTATCGCCCAATTTTGTGGATTAGTTGAGGTTAGACATTAGCACTGTTGGATGCCAGCTCAGTGGTATAAACGTTAGGCGTTCGTGCACGAGACCGACAGGTCGTGGGTTCGAGTCTCGCGATGCGGGATCGTGGATACGCACTATATTTTTATTCTTCATTAATTAAATATTCAAATTATTGTAATCTCTTGCTAGTAGGTTTTTCCATAGTTTATAAACTGTTGATATGTGTTATACCATCCTAAGTTACTATTCATTTATTCTTCGTTCGGATATATCATAATAAGTCAATCCCTTCAGTTCATGAGAAAGAGCAGAAACCATCATACACAGATCAGTATAACCGATAGTTCAAAAAAACCCAACCGTTCATAACCATTGGATACATAAGTGAAGTTGAGAACAACGATACCCTTAAAAACATCAAGTTTTAACTTCTGGATTGAAGAATATTTTTACCCTTTGTCAGATCCTCAAATACAAAAGCATTAAACGATGTCCTGAACTAATCATATTGCTTTACCCAAAATAGCGCCTCTTTCTTACTGACGAGAATTTTGATGGAGCATGACAGGGAAAACGAGAATAACCACTTTACTACCAAACATAATATTTAGTCCCATATATGCAAACATACCGATAAATATGACTTTGTTTGATCCAAACTTTTCCTAGATTAGCTGACTCACGGTCCAAAAAGAGTACTTAAACAATACACTTCTGTTTGCTAAACATCCCGAAAAGTTTCCGGAGAATTTTTCTGCGTTTTGCAACTCTATAAGAGATAGGATGATGCAGAAATTAGTACACAATAATCGACCCTAAGCTACTGGAATTTCGATATATGTAAATTGTTATTTTGGCACTTGCCAATCTACGTTGACTTTGGTACCAGAGATGCACGACGGTTTATCAAAATTTAGTGCATTATGAGGCAGTCTCCTTTATTTTATTTCACAGCTATACAACACACTACATAGGAATGAAAGATGTGGGTAAACCTGTGTTCGATGAAGACGGCATATGAAGACTTCTGAGATCGAAACGAAATAAAATTTTATATAAAAGTTTGCTCACGGTAAGACATAAATCTTATACGGTTTAAGATGATTAAAAACCATCCACATTGAATTGGTCATATTACTAAACGACCATCAAAATCTTACATCCCGAACCTTGTAGTTATCCAATATGGTATAACTATGTTATGTAAATAGATATTGTTAGTTAGGGGAAAGACTTACAAAAATGATTTTGAGGTCAATTAGTATATTTCCTTTTCAGTAATGTCAAAGACTATTATAGTTACAAACAACAGAAGACCAAGTAGGGATAAGTCCCATCCCATTTTGAATCAATCAGTTCATCATAGATAATGTAGAACCTAGTACAAGTATGTATCGATGTTAGCCATCAAGGCTCAAACCTGCACAGAAAACGAAAGCTGATAGGATGAGACGTAGGTGGGAAATAGGATCAAATACGAAAAACAAAAATAAAGAGATTCATTCACCAGGTATTCGACCATGAGCTACACTCTAAGTATGAAGGCTAACTATACTGACCGATTACCCATATCGGAGTAGGTGGGAGGAGTTCGAATGTGACTTAGTGGCTGACAGTTAAATACCTTAATCACTAAGCCTCATTCAAATCTGTCACCTTTAATTACCTAATTACCGATAAAGTGTGATTTATATTACGATAATTACTATTTAATTATTACTATTAGAAGCATATGTTAGCTTTTCACTTTACATGCAAAGAAGAAAACATTCCAAAAAATGACAACAACAACCAGTAAGAGCATTCTGTCTCTCACGATTAGGCGAGTACAGATATAAACCAATTTAACAGGAACAAAATGAAATAAAAAACAAATGAATGTTCAAAAATGTTAGCTTCACATAAAATGGTTTCCATTTTTAATTATCAAAATAGGTCTATCCAAAAGTGACTATTAGTACAAGTATATATATATATATATATATATATATATATATATATATATATATATATATATATATATATATGAAATTGTATTTATTGGGGTATTTGTCGAACCATTATAACCGCAGATGGACACAAGCCTAAACAATAAGAAACAAAAGAGAATAATATTACTAATTCAATATTCCAAAGTAGAATGTTGATATTATCATTTTTTTAAATCATTGAAACCCGAAATTACAACATACTCATATTTTAATAGTTTTAAATCACGAACTGATCTTAGACAGATCACCACTGAAAACCAGCAGGCACTGAAAATCCTACAATTTCCACAAACTCCCTAACCCATACTAACAATAATCATGTACACGTTAGTGGCTAGCTTTAAGATGCGATTCCTGGAACTTAAATGAGAAGCCGTAATCAGTGTAGTTCAGCCATTTTCAATTTCAGAAGGTTATCCACCTCAGACGATGGAAGATCGTTGCAGAATATCGTGAATTGATCAAAGTTAGACAAGTATACCAGTGGAGGCCGGCTTAGTGATCTAGAGGTTTATTTTCAAGTTCGATTCCCTGCAGTGATGTGATGGATGCTGTACAGTACTTTCTGGCTTTTAATGGTATTCCATTTACGATCAGTTCGTTATTTAAAACCATTTAAATTCTACAACCTCTACAAAACACTATATTGATATCCATATTTCTTAATATATGATAACTGAAAGAACTTCAATAACAAATCTTTCTTTCTACTGTCTACTTCATCTTGTGGAATAGTAAGAGGATACAAGTAACAACATACCATTAATCCAATATTTGGTATGCTACTATATGTATTTGACTACTAGCTATGTAAATAAACTTGTATTTTCTAAAAAAAAATGTATCAATATTACAGTTATCTCAAAATAAGTCAAATATATACATCAGTAGATATGACTGATAGTTAAGAATGTTGAGTTGCACTGTAATAGGTGACAGTGTCATCTTGAACCATTTATTTTATTAAATCCTTATAGTTTTTTATTTAAACACATAAATATTGGTACAAAGGGGCACCAGCTATATATGCGCCACACAAATCTCATTTGATTTGTGTGAGAACTGTGATACTACCCAGGTGCCCAGACAGAAGCAGGTGGTCTTCTTAAGGGGCCACACACTGAGCCTTTGACCTAAAGGTCTAACCCACAAGACAGTGGAGCATCGTGAGGAGATGCAGTCCCATGGTAGCCGGTGACCAACAGTTGGTTCACATGCCATTTGTTCGATCAGGATACTGGAGCTCATGTGCACCATTGGTTTGGAATCAGGGTTTTCCAACTCCCCTAGGTGGACTCGCCTTGTCCACCAACCCGGTTAAAGCGCCGGACATTCACTTTTCGTCCTTTCAATTTCGTAAACAACAGTAATGCCACGAGAAGGCAGTGAGTAGGACTTCCCTGGCAGAGACTGTTTACGCTTGGCCGTATGAGAGCATTTTGAGAAGGAGAACGGGCTCTCCCCACTCTTGGCCATACCAGGGCATTTGGGGGCAAAGTGGCTACCGCCTCCGAGTGGGCACGAACCACCAGCCTTTCGGTTAACAACCAAACGCGCTAAAGGTTAGCATAAAGTGACAATTTTACAAGCTATGACTCAACATAACATCTGAATTTTGAGTAAATCATTTCAAGGATACATCAGCTCATCAGCAACGTATTAGATACCAACGAAAATACTTGATATTGATTGTCGATCATGTTATATCTTGTGGCCGAGTGGATGGGTAGTTGATGTGTGACTTGATGAGACCGCCAATTAGGGAGCAGCGAATTGTCGATTGGAACAGTGACACGAAACCCGTACGAGCAGCCTAGAGTGCTAACCGGTCCTGCGATCTGCCTAGCCCAGCCAATTAAGTCCAAAACACCAATAACAGCCTCAGTGGTATGAATCATTATTTACAAACATAATGGGTTTTTATACAAACCAAAGTAATCAATAACTGAGTATAACTCAAGAATCGTATGATAATAAATCAAAGATCAAAATAAAGCTCATGATAAGAGAAACACAAATATGAATCGTTTAGTTACGTAACAATTGTACAATACGCATAATACATTGGTCGATAAATAGACCTTGGAGTTACCATTCATAATTCACCAGGGGATATAACACCTCCCCTTTTTTTTGAAGCATCATGGATAATAGCGATCCATGGGATTTATTTTTATACGATTAGATTTCCGCCTGATGCGCTGCGACCGCCTTGGGAGTGTTGTACACGTCTTCTTTTTATTCGGGTCGTTTTTAATTTCATTATCCGACTTGGTTAATATATTTAATGGTATATCATGCTTTCTATCACTTTCTATCTCCCACTCCTGTCTGGTCGGCTGTATCTGGTTTGCATGTCGTACCCATATCTTTTGTCCAACTTTCACTTCATAAATAACTTTCCCTTTTCTTCAGACTATGATGCCAAATTTCCAGGTTGGCTTAACTCCCTGATAATCTCTTGCCATTACTGCTTGTCCCACATTAAACCTTCTGGGTAGGGCACCATGCCTTTTGTTAAATTGCAGTTCCATTCGTTTATTCTTGCACTGAATGATTTCAGGTTTTGGCTTCATTTGTTCCATAGGTATTCTAATCTATCTTCCGAAAATTACTTCTGCCGGGCTTTCTTGATTATTTGTTGCTGGGTTGGGAGTTGCGCGGTAGCTTAGTAAAAATCGTTGAATTATATCCTCTATTTCTCCTTCCCCTTCGGCCTTAAGCAATGCTCTTTTAAAAGTGTCCACGAACCTTTCGACTAACCCGTTAGACTGTGGATGGTATGGGGGTGTCTTGATATGCTTAATGGCATTGGCAATGCAGAACCTCGAAAATTCAGCAGAGGTAAACTGTGGTCCATTGTCTGACACTAATATATCTGGACACCCAAAACAACTGAATACTTGCCTCAGTTTCTTCACCGTAGCTTGTGTTGAGACATATTTCATATAGTGGACTTCTGGCCACTTAGAGAAAGCATCAATGATTATCAAGAACTGTTTACCGTTTATAGGACCGGCGAAATCTACATGAACTCTTGACGACGGATTTTACGGTGTTCCCCAACTCTGCATTTCGGTCTTGCGAGGCGCTTTCATGGCTGTTGCACATGCTGAACATTTCGCAACATATTCTTCAATCTGCGTATCAATATTCGGCCAATATACATAACCGCGTGCAAGTGCTTTCATCCGCGCTACCCCTGGATGTGCAGCATGCAGTTCTAACATCACTTTCCGACGTAGGCTTGTGGGTACAATAACTCGATTTCCAAACATTAGGCACCCGTCCACGAGCGATAAAGAATTTCGTCGGTGAGCATACTGTTCAATGTTTTTGTTGTCTATATGAGCAGGCCAACCATGTTCAAGGTAACTTATAATCCGTTTCAGCTCGCCATCTTCTTGAGTGTAGCGTCTAATATCTTCAGCGGATAATGGTGTTGCTTTTATAGCAACTTGTAGTATTTGGTGGATATCTTCCAATGATATCGCTGCAATAATAGAATCTTCGCTTTCCTGCTTCTGATTCGCAATTAATCGAGATAAAACATCAGCTTGTCCAAACTTTTCAGTTGATTTATATAGAATTCGGAAATCATAAGCAAGTAGTGTAATAGCCCAGCGTTGTAATCGATTAGCTGTATATGCAGGAATACCTGACTTCGATCCAAATATAGATAAAAGCGGCTTGTGATCTGTTAGAAGAGTAAATCGACGTCCATAAATCATTTTATGAAATTTTTTTACTGCAAAAACTATAGCTAATCCTTCTTTTTCAGTCTGACTATATTTTCGTTCAGCTGGGTTAAGTGTTCGGGATATATGAGCAATCGGCTTTTCTTTACCATCAGGAAAACGATGACTGATAACAGCCCCAATTCCATAGTTGGAAGCATCAGCGGCAACAATTATTTCAAGATTAGGATTGTAATGAGTCAACAATAATTTAGAAGATAAAATCCTTTTTATTTCGTCGAAAGAATGTTGGCATTCTTTTGTCCAGTGCCATTTTGCATTATCCATCAAAAGTTGATTTAACGGGTGTCTCAATTTATACATCTGGGGTACGAACATACTATAATATCCAATCATCCCCAAGAATGAACGGAGAGTTGTAACATCAGTTGGTGTGGGCATATTTTTGATGGCATTTATATTATCTGGATCTGGCCGGCGACCATCTTTATCAAATATATATCCAAGATATTTAACAGAATCCAGCATAAATTGACACTTTTCTTTTTGTAATTGAAAACCGGCTTGCGATATTCTATTGAGCACCACGTCTAACCGACTCATCAGTTCGTGAGCAGAAGAGGCAACAACTATAATATCGTCCAAATAAACTGCCACACCTTCAAGGTTAGACAACATGGTATCCATAATCTGTTGGAAAATTGCTAGAGCTGGTTTTACACCAAAAGGTAATCGGCTAAACTGGTAAAGTCCACGGTGGGTATTAATGGTTAATAACTCCCTCGAATCTTCGTCAACTTCTACTTGTAAGTAAGCTTCAGATAGATCGAGTTTGGAAAAGTAACGTCCACCGTTTAGTTTAATAAATAAATCTTCTGGCAAGGGAAGTGGATATGAGTGACTTTGTAAATCAACGTTTAATCCTGTTGAAAAGTCTGCACACAGGCGAATAGTTCCGTTTGCTTTCTGCACTACTACTATTGGTGCTGCCCATGCTGAATAATTAACCGGTTGTATAACACCCAGTTTCTCTAATCGATCTAATTCCTTGTCAACTTTATCGGTGGCTGCATACGGGACTTGGCGTTTTGGACAAAAAACAGGTTTTACATCCTGTCGTAAATATAACTTTGCCTTTCCAATGGTACAGCATCCCAATTTATTCTGGAACAACTTCTTGTGTTTCTGTAAGAGGTCTATCGTTATGGCTTTCTTAGCTACATGAACCATGGGTAGATCTCTGGGACTATTTGTGCACTTCATCATGCATATTTCACTCAATGGTACATCCCATAGGTTTAGTTTATCTATCCAATCTATTCCAATAAGGTCTAAGTCATGCCTGTTCGTTAAATAGCAATTCCCTTTGAAGTAGTTATCTCGAAATTCAACAGA